GGGTCTCAGTTGCTGTAACGGTTCCTGGGGGGCCAGTGCTGTTGCACAGAAGGCTAATCTTCAGCCTGTGCTGCCAGCGTCCCATATAGGCACCAGTCTGTGTCCTGGCTGCTCCACTTCCCATCCAGCTCCCTGCTGGGAAAGCAGTGGAGATCGATGCAAGTCCATAGAGTCAGCACCCATGTGGGAAACCCAAAAGAAGCTCCTGGTGGCTTCAGATCAGCTTAGCTCTGGCCGTTGCTGCCAAGTGGGGGAGTGAACTGACAGATGGAAGATCTTTCTGTCTCTCCCTTTCTCTGTAACTCTGTCTTTCCAATACAAATAAAATAAACCTTAAAAAAAAAAAGTCCTGTGTCTTAAGCCATCTCCTGTGGCTGTAACGAGGCGCCTGCGGCTGGGCCCTTCATTTGAAGAATAGAGGCTCCGGCAGCTCCAGGTTTCGGGGCTGAAGAGGCACAAAGCAACATCCCTGCCTGCTCAGCATCCAGTGAGAGCCTCAGGGCTGGAGCGTGTGTGTGAGGGGACGTGGACATGGCAAGACGCGAAGTAGGAGGCAGAGAGGAGCCAGGGTCCCGGTTTAAAAGAGCCTCTTCTCACAAGGACTCCCCCTTCCCAGGCGGTGGACCGACCCTCCTCCCACTCGGCCCTGCCTCACCAGGGTTCCGGAGCTCACAGCCAGCACCTGGGGCACAAAGCCTCCAGCATGAAGCCCTTTGAATGACAAGCCCTTGGTGCCTCAGTTTGAGCCATCCCCTTAAACCAGTGTGAGTTTGGCTGCAATCATTTATCGCCTGTGCTACTCCAAACACGCCTCTAAATTTATCTTTTTGTCTGACAGGTAAATTTGCTTTTGTCCCACAGTGATCATATCCATGATATTATAGTTTTGGTCTGTTACTTATAAAACTTTCATGTACACATAAATATATAAGATGGGTTGCAATTTAAGAGGTTTTTCCATATATCAATTTCCCTTATTGGACCATGAGGCCATACTTAACACGCCTTGGGAAATATTGATTAGAACTGATTGCAATTTGAAAATGAGAACACTGAACTTCATTTACATATCAAATATATGTAAATTGCTCATACATTTGCACCCAGCAGTTCCTTCCAATTTTTACATGTTTGAAGCTCAGAGGAATCTTAAAGGTAGGTCCCACTGTAGAATAATAATTTGACAGACAAGCAACTGCAAGGAAAAGTCACTTGATTCAGATCATGCAAGTAAACAGACTGATTTAGAATTCAAACCCTGGCAGTTGACTTTTTATTTTTTATTATTTTTTTAAGATTTACTTTTACTGGAAAGTCAGATATACAGAAAGAAGGAGAGATAGAGAGGAAGATCTTCTGTCCATTGATTCACTCCCCAAGAGGCCGCAACGGCTGGAACTAAGCCAATCTAAAGCCAGCAGCCCAGATCCTCTTCCTTCTGGGTCTCCCACCCGGGTGCAGGGGCCAAGGCTTTGGGCTGTCCTTGACTGCTTTCCCAGGCTACAAGCAGGGAGCTGGATGGGAAGCAGGGCTGCGGGATTAGAGCCGGCGCCCATATGGGATGCCAGTGCATTCAAGACAAGGACTTTAACCATTATGCTAGGCTACCGTGCCAGGCCCAGCAGTTGACTTTTGAAACATTTACTTGACTGTCATAGTTACAGAGAGAGAGAGAAGCAAAGAGGGAAGGAGATTTTCCATCTGCAGGTTCACTTTCCAGGGCCCCTGGGACTGCTACCCTGGGTCTCCCAGCCAGCCCAGTGTTTTCTAAGGTGCGTCCAGTGGACACCTGCCGGGACAAGCTCATGAGCAAGTATAGCCGCTCCTCGGATCACACTTAGCTTTAAACAATTCTACATTTCAGTTGTGTTCTCAGTTTTTATGATGGTTGCCTCCACCCACATGAGTCCTGTCTTTCCTGAGGGGAGGCAATCCTTCAGCAACACAATTCACCTGCTTGCCTTGCCACCTCAGCTCTGAGGCGCAATGGAGCCCGACTTTGCAGACTGTGGGGCCTCTGCCTGTTACAACACAGTGCTGTTTTCTTGTAGTGCCCCACATTCTGAGCATGGCTTGGGCTGCCAAGACCCAAAGCAACAGTTGGGCAGCAGAAGGAGACCCACAGGGACACTGGAGAAGAAGGGAGAGGATCCCACAGCCTGAGGTCTGGGGGCTTCGTGACATAGCCACACAGCTCACCTGTTTCCCCCCACAGGACTGGGTCTCCTATGCCTCACCCCAGGAATAACCCAGGGGCCAATGTCCCTTCTGGGCGGTCACAGGGACCACGGTGTTATCACAGTTGGTGAGGCACATCAATACTTGCTCATTGTTCAGGTGAGCAGATGGACCCTGGGACTCTCGGAATTCAGGGCTCCCTGGTGGTGTGTCAGCAGTTGGGGAGCAGGGACGCATAGGGGACCCCCCTCGAGGCTGGCTTCCCTGTCCCTCGCCTCAGCTCCAAGCCCTGCAGGCCTGCCTCCAGACATTACCCTGATGCTCGATGCACTGACTGAGCACTTTCCAACATCAGAACATGCAGCCAATGATTATCAGCCACAATGCAGAGCACCATGGGAAGATAGGAAGAGCCTGTCAGCTTCCTGGGGGAATCCAGGCTCAGTGAAGAAAGGTGTGGTAATGGATTGGCAGTGTCTGTCAGAGCACAAAATGGGGGGTGTGGGCATGTATTTTCCATGTGTGATCCCTCCCCCATGCAATGCACAGCTGGGATGCTGGAGTTCCTGGCAGGGGTTTCAGGGAGTGGGGGGCATTCTGCTCCATGACTCTCCACAGCCACAACTGGACTGAGCAAAGTGGAAACACTCTCCTAGGCCCAGAATCCTGCTCCTTGCAGGTCGTGTTCATTCAGGACCCTGGTTTATAATCCCACCCTACTTTGCCGGGATGGGAGGTGGCAGGGCTAACATCGCCCTAGGGCACTCCCCTTGAGTTGTCACTGGGTCACCGTGTGTACTCCTAGGTCCCAACAGCAGTTGCTTGCTGAGGGCTGCTGTCTCCAGGGGATTGTGCATGGCACTGCGCTGGTATGTGAGGTCCTGGGAGACAGCAGGAATGGGAAGAGAAGGGACAAGCCCTCTGGCAGCTTGAGGAGCATCTGTGCACTCATCCTGGGTCCCCCACTGTCAGGGAAGGGCTGAGATGTACACACAGGGTGAAGGTGGTGATGGGCAGGGGACGTCTGACAGGAACAAGGCAAGCAGCAGCAATCAGCAGGGTTAAAATTGCACGGCGTGGGTTTCATGTCGGTCTGCTCACCCCGCTCCCAGCCTCTCCTCCCTGGCATCTAGACATTGCTTGATGTCTCCCAGAGAGGGATCCTACCCTGCCTTCCCGTGAAAGCCCCCCGGCTAAACAGTTCTCACCACCGAGTCCTCTTCTCTTCCTAGCACCTCCTTCCCATGGCCCTAGTCTTGGTGGGGACTGGCCCCCAACCCCCACAAGCCCCTGGGCAGTGCAGCCCGTACGGGGACCCTCGGCCACAGCTGAGTCTGCCCTGCAGCCCTGACTCTGCTACCCAGGGCATCCCCTCAGAGCCAGTAGAGCCAGGCCAGGGAGGTAGAGGGTTAAGGCTGCATGCGATTCCAGCCCCTGCTTGCCTCCTGTCCCCAATCATTTTGTGACAATGCAGCCCAGGCCCCAAGAAACTTAGAGAGAAAGGAAAATGCAACACAACTTGTTGGGGTTCAAAACACAACACCAAGAGCAATGTTAATAAATACACATTGACAGGTCTGGATGTCCAAGGCACAAGTGCATGTGGGTCAGGCTGGCTCCCGCAGGGCTGAGGACACACTCCAGCATCCAGGGGCAGGGCAAGGGAGGAGACAGCACCTGAGGAGCCCCTAGCACCTTTGGGCTCCAAGGGGACTGCAGGCCAGGGGCCTACCGCTCCTTGGGCTCCGAGGCCCCTCCAGCACCCAGTAAGGAGTTGGGTGATCCCTCCATGCCCTGGGGGGGGCACCCTGGGATCTAGGTCACTTCCTGAGATCCCATAAATCTGTAGCTGTTACCTTTCCCTGGCAGGTAGGTAGGTGAGCCCCGCTGAGGCCCTAAGCACCAGGGGTCAGTAGGTCCTCCCTACTTTGGCCATAGAGCAGAGACTGGCATTGACCTTGAGCCCTCAGCCCTGGAGTACCACATGCCTGTGGCCTAGCTCAGGCTAGGTTGGGAGGAGGCCCTGACTCCAGCAAGAGTGGGGATTGGCAGGGAGCATGTCCCAAGAGGCCCTGCTTGAACCCACCATATCCTCAGTGCCCAGTCATACCCATTCACCTGCCAGACCTGTCCCTTTTGTTCCCTAGAGTAAGGAGCAAGTGGCTATCCTGGACCAGCCAGGGGCCCAGCACCAGTATGGAGCCCCCATTAGCACCCTTGGGGGGCAGGGTGTCCTGAACCTCTTCCTGTGGAACATCCCCTGACAGGCCTGCCTGCAAGTTGGAGTCACCAGAAGGATGTCAAGGAGCACCTACAGGGAGAACACAGCCACCAGGGCTGCCTTGTCCACCAAGAGCTGAGCCTGAGAGGAGCTTGCCTCTTACGCCACCCTGGTCTGGCAGCAAGGATGGCATTGGCCCCTAGCCTCAGCCTGTCCTGTGTGCAGGCCCTCCCCAACTCAGAGACCCCTACTTTACCTTCTTAGGGCCTCCACAGGGGTCCCTGCAAGCTCCAGAGAAGTGGTCAGCTTCAGCCATGACCTGGCCCAGCTCTGCAGAGGTCCAGCTGCTGGCCCTGCAAGGCCCCGCCCCCACCAGGCCACTTGTGAGGTATCTTGGGTTTGAACTTTCCCTGATCTTTCTCTCCCTCCCACCCCCGTCACCAGCAACCAGCATCATGGCCCCGCAGGACAAGAAAGTGGCAAATAACTTAGAAAGGAAAGTCTGTGCTTGCCCCACCCCACTGCATGTGCCCTGAGCCAGGGGTGTGAGGGGGGGTGGCACAGCATGTAAACATGACTGGCAGGCTGGGCGAGGCTGGGCTCAGGTCACCAAAGAGGTAGGAGGAAGGCTACCTTGTGTCGGCTCCTCCCCTGGCTGCCCGGTATCCTCAGAGGCTGGCAAAGGTGTCGGGGTCCAGCCCCAAGGCTGTCCCTGCATGGTGGTATGACTCAGTTTCTGGGGGACAGGGTGATGTTGGCTCACTGCAGAGCTCGTGTGCGGAGGTCCTGGGAGTTCTGCGGGTGGATCAAACTGATGGCTAGCTGCTCCCGCTGGGCCCCAAGTAGACACCACTGCAGCATCTGGGAAGGGGCTCCCAGGAGTGGAGAAGGAGGGCAGTGAGGCCAGGCTGGGGTCCGGGCTGGTGTCTTGGGCCGAGTCTTCTGTAGAACAGGTCTCACAGCACAAGCGGCGGTAGCCGGGGACGGAACAGTAGCGCTTGAGCACTTGCATCTGGCAGAAGATGGACCTGTCCCCCACGCAGGGCTCCGCTGCATGTAGCACAAGAACCATTAGTAGCCACACTTCCCTCTGACCTACCTTCCAGCATTCTCCCTGCAGCCCACGCCCACCTGTGCAGCAGCTTCACTCAGAGACTCGCTGCAAAACACATCTTGTACCTTCTTGGGCCTCAGAAGCAAAAGTACTGGCCTTGGGGCCCAAAACAGTATTTTAATAAAACCCGTTGGGTGATCCCAACAGGAAGTACCAAGGCCAGTGGTGGACCCTGGAACCCTCAGGGAGCTTTACAAACAGCCGATGCAGCCTCTGCCCTGAGAGACTAGGCCACCTATGGTCTCACCAGCACATGGAACGGTTGCAGTTTTGCAATTCAGCCTAAAGACTGGATGCAAGCAGGATCCTTCATCTCTCCCTGAGGGCCCTGAAGGCCTTGACCCAGCCCACAGAGCTGTTGCCACCCATGTGACAGCCGGTGGAATACCTGCCACCCGGTCAGCCCTGTGTGATCTGCAATCAGGCTCAAGGACTTACTGTACTAACTTGCATTACTTAAATAGCACCTACCAGTGCTTATGGGCTGAGTCCAGGCTGCTCTTTGCAGACTGAAAGTAAAGGCTAAAAGGCAGAGCCTTGCTTTCTATTCAGTTTTGAAAGAGAGGAAGGGAGAAAGGGAGTGAGGGAAAAGGGGCAGGTATATGTGGTTGCAGGTTTAGAACAGATCAGAGGAAAACAGAAGGCCAGTAGCCACCAGATGGCGCTAGAATTCTGTGTCCAGAATCTTTGCCTTGTAGCAGGTAAAGAACACATTGGGCTTGAGGCCCAGCACAGCCTCAGAGACTCAGACAGGCCAGAAGGGCCTTGGAACCTTTTACAGATGAAGTCACTAAGCTCCAAGAGGCTGGAATGATTACATTAGGGCCCCACAGCCCACGGGTCCTCTAACCAGAGGTCAGGATCTCTGATCTGTCCACTGCTCATCTTGCCAGACCCCAAGAGGGTGAGCAAGGGAAGGAAAGGCAGGACCTAGGGAAGGGACACAGAACACAGAGCACACACCCTGAGGTGCTCAGGAGGTCTCTGTCCAGGGCTGGACCAATGGAAGGCTGGGAGTGGGGGCTGACAGACATCTGCTCCCAAGGCACAGAGCCTGCAGCCTCTCAGCCACCTGGGGCCGCCTGGGCAGCCTGTGTCTGAGAATCTCGGGACCAGCTCTGCCTTACAATCCAGAACCATAGGGTCAGCAGAAACCACACTGTATGTTCCTGACAGCACACTTGCAGCAGCACCTGGGGCATCACTGTCACCACTCAGGGCGCTGTTTCTACAACAAACAAGAAATGCCTTCTTGTTGATTCAGGTCAGATGCAGCTACCCACTTGGGAAACACGCCATCAGCACCGTGGAGGCGCAGATATGGGGTCACAGATCAGAACAGCACGGTCCTTCCTTCTCATCCAGGGACTCCGAGGCTCAGCCGGGTCTGTCCTGCAGCATGGCCCTTGCCCAGGACCCCAGGGCTTGGGGCAGAGGTGGAGAGAGGCACAGTCTGCACTTACTTGCTGATATCTCATCCATGGGGAGTTGGGAACCCGTATGCGACATCCACTGTCCTTCTGCAGCCAGGGGCTCCTGGAGGTCAGCCCTCACCATGGAGTCCTGGAGAGTTCCTAAGAGTAGCCAGAAAATCAGCTGTAGCGCAGCCCAGCGCTCTGCCCCTGCAGGGTTCTGAACCCACAGATATAACCACCCATGCATCAGGAACGTTGGGGAAGAACCACGCCTGTGCTGAACTAATGCAGCCTGGTCTTTGTTCTCATTCCCACTGCAATGCTAAACAACTGCTCACACAGCACATACATTGGTCAGGAGTTACAGGGGACTGCAGATGACTTAGAGTTCCCCAGGAAAACACTGCATACAGCTTGTATGCAGACACAAGACTATGCTAAGATATGAGGGGCTGGCATGCCCACAGATTCAGGCAGCCACACAGGCAGCAAGCAGTCCTGGCACCAACCCCTGAGGACACCTGAGGGCTGCCTGGGTCTGACATTTCCAAGGGGGCAAGATGCAAGGCTGGGCTAAGTCTTGTGGGGTAGACCAGAAGAGCTGGGCGTGGCCTCCCGTCCCACCTGTCCATTGGGGCTCACCTTCGCAGGGGGGCAGGCTGCAGACTTGGACGGTGTCCGGCTTATCTGCCTCGCACTGTCCGACACTGTTGGCGCTGGCACGGCACACCACCTGCCGCTGTTGGATACCTTTCCCACAGGTGACGGAGCACTGCCAGGGTAGGGGGTAGGGTAAGGTTACGGTGGCCATGAGGGAGAGACAGAGTTCAGGCCAGTGAGCTCCCAGGCCAGCCCATGCAAAGGCAGAGCCTACACCAAGAATAAAACCACATCTCTACTGGCCCAGAGGGACACACAGGGACAGTCCTTAAGTAGCCCCAGCAGGACCCCATTCCAGGGCCAAGAGCTACCGCTTCTGCTCAGACTCCCTGGTTCGTAGTGGCTTCAGAAAGCAACCTCCTGAACCCCTCTGCAGCTGCCATGCCTGCATCCACAGTGTCTGTTCCATGCCTGTCTTCTTGGAGACGCCATGGTTCCCACGGGCCTAGTGCACCTGGTCTGAGGCACCACACAGCAAACCCGAACCAGGCCCTCTCCTTAACGACATCTCAACAGGTGCACAAGGCTGCCTCACTGCACACTAATTTTGGAGACCAGACAGCTGGACACGGGGCTTCTAGCTGGGACATTTAAGGGCCCCATATCAGCCTGCAGAGCAGGTTCCCTAGGGCCTTCTTCCCTGAGAAGGGAATGGAGTGGACTCTGCCACACACAGCCTGTCCCCTGGCCTGTGGCACACCTTATTCTAAGAAGGCTCCAGAGTGGAGACTGAAGGTCGCCCCACATGCCCAGTAGGTACTGTTAACTGCCTGTGTCAGAAGAACCTGGGACAGACAACATCCTGGGCACAGCAGCACGGCATCAGGCAGCCTGGTCTACCACGATCAGTCTTGACAGTGGAGACTGGCATTGGATGGCTCCGTTGCTCTCATGGGGGATACCCTTTCCATCCACCCCTTCATCTCACAGCGAAACGCTATTCCATTGGAAGTGCCCTTTTCGCACCTTGTGCTGTTTGCACCCCCAAGTCCTAGATGGTGTCTGCTGACAAGCATGGCTCAAGTGACTCCAGCTTCAAGCTAGCGGCAGGACACACACACCATGGCAGCCTCCAATCCCCAAGAGACAAACACCTCAGCTATTTCCTAATGGCTGCTAGAACAACTGGCAGCATCGTGCTTCCCTCCCTGAACAAATAAGGTTTTAAAAACTGGGATAAGTTCTCCCTCACCACATTGATTGTAACCACACATGCACGTTAGACTCAATGGGAAATGCAGGCCCATGTCCTCAGCCATCTCCACTGCCCTCATCTCTACAGCTTTCTCTTCATCTCAAAGAACTCCATACCCATCGGAGATGCCGCTCCCCAGGACTCCCTCTGGCCACCATTAATTTATTTTTTATTCCTGAATGCGACTCTTCCAGGGGCCTCATGTGCATGGAATCCTACACAAGGGGTAACACCATGGTATAGATTAATCCTCCACTTGCAGTACCAGCATCCCAAATGGACGCCAGTTCAAGTCCTGACTGTTCTACTTCCCATCAAACTCCCTGCTTATGACCTGAAAAAACAGTGGAGGGTGGATCCAACACTTTGGACCCTACACCCATGTGGGAGACCACAAAGAAGCTCCTGGCTCCCAGCTTTGGACCAGCTCAGCTCTGGCCATTGTGGCCATTTGGGGAGTGAATCAGTAGACAGAACATCTCTCTCTTTCTGTCTCTCTCCCTCTTTAATTCTTTCACATAAAAATTAACAAAATTTGGGGGAGGGGAAGGAATCCTACATGATCAGTCTGACTTATTCCACATCAGGTGAGTGGAACGACTTCCCCGGAGCCACCACCGGGGCCTGCCCTGCAAACACCTGCAAGTCCCAGCAACCTCAGCACCGGCTCCCCTTCTCCGTCATGGCCTCCTGGAAATGAACCTCCCACACAGCTGCCAAAGGATTTCCTAAACCCTGCAAAACCCTTCCATTGCTCTACAGACGGATTCAAACTCCTCACACAGCCCAGCCCCCCCGACCCCCTGCCTTGCAGTCTTGTAGCCCCTATCCATCCAGTCCCACTGGAGCTTCCTTTAGGTGTCTGGAATGTTTTAATCCTGCTGCTGCCTCCAACTCTTCCTTTGCTTTATTGCTCAATTGGAACATCACAACCTCTGAGAGGTCCTCCATGATCACATGCCCCTGACTGTTCCCTACCATCAGGAACTACCCCTGCAACTGGTTCACTTGTCTGCTAGTCTCTCTCGCTGGTCTGTGGGCTCCATAAGGATAGGAATCAGGTCTCTCTGTGCTCAAGGCCTGGCATGAACTAGCACTCAGCAAGCACTTCTTGAATGCAAGAAAGTGCATGAGCTTCCCCCTCTAGGAATGAGACAGTAGCACACCCCTCCTAGAGCTGTGTAAAGCTTCAGAGACAAAGCACAGAGCCACAGCCCAGCTGTCCGTGGAAGCACTTTGACTAGGTCTTGAGAAAAAGCAGAGTAGATGTGGGGAGAGAGATTAAGCCAGAAAGTCTGTGCCTGCAAGGAACATCACAGAACCTTGCAGATTCTACTCCCACCTCCCCTCTACAGTCTCACCTGCTCCCCGACCCCTCCTACTTTCAGAGAACAACTAACTCACCTGCGACCAGGCTCCTGTCCGCCACTGTGCTGGGCAGGGCACCCGCAGGCAGGGCCGCCGGGCCTCAGGCCGATCGCCAGAGCAGGCCTTGGCCAGCATGACCTCGTAGGTACCATTGGAGATCTCCAGCAGGCACTGCACCTTCCGAGCCTGCAGTCCCTGCTTCCCACAACTCCGGCTGCAGGCGCTCCACTCTCCTGTCACCCACCTGAAGGCACACAGCAGGGGAGCCAGGATGGAGGAGACACTTCCTCCCAGAGTCACTTCCCACCCCCCAGAACAGTTGCAGGCAACAGAGTGGGTAGTGGGTAGTCTTGGCCTTCAAGAGGGGCTTGAGGAGTCATGCTCTCACTCCCTGCCAGCCCTCATCTGAATGCAGGTGCAGGGTATGTGTGACCACCAGCAGGTTGCAGCCTCACTGCCTCAGCCATCAGGCCTGCGCAACAGGCTGCTCGTTGGAAGGGTCACAGGGCACAACTATTCACATAGGAGTCAGGACAGACACCCCCTCTCCCTGCCCACCCCCCAGCTTCCTGGGGGCATTTTCTAATTAAGCCGAATTTCCAACAGAATCAGCCTCTTTGTTTAAAAAACCCAAGTCACAAGCTTGGGTGACAGTGACCTGCCAGGACCTCAGGCAGAGCTACTAAGCCTGCATGCTCTGTGATCTGTGGGCGCCAAGCAGGCTGAGTGACAGCAAAGGAATGAGTGTAAGTTAAGCCGGAAAGGCTGTGGCATCGCTGCTGTCCTGGGCAGCACAGGGGCTGGGCACAGTGAGACCACAGCCAAGGCTGCTGTTGACCTAGCTGCCGCCCTAGCCCCTGACCTCATCTGACCCTAGGGCCCCACCAGCTGGAAGGAGCAGGAGCAGCTGTCCCTTAGGGGTCCCTGTCACACAGTAAGGATCCCAAGGGAAGCAGGAGGTTGGGCCAGTCACCATCAGCCCTGCCTGGGGTGCTGGGGATACTGGAAGGAGCTTCAGGAGGCCTTAGGGCTGGGTGACTGTGAATGCTCCACAAGTCACAGCTCTCTCCTCCCCTCGGAGTAATGCCAAGAACACAAATTAGTGTTCAAAAACACCATGTCTTTAGGCAAGGGAGGCCCACTCCATGGCTCTTAGACCAAGGCTAGAGCTGGCAGGTGGGCTGAGTCCCTGGACCCTGATGGTTGAGCAGAAGACCCAGAGTGAGGAAACATGGAATGTACTTCCCCTAGAGTACCTCCACCCCTTATATCACTCAGTGCTGAGTCCCCAGACTGGCCCTTGGTCTCCCAGGGAGGCCTGGAGGAGCAGATGAATGGAAGCTGCTTCCTTCTTCCAGGAGTGGGAGTAACTACTCCAGAGCTCCCCCACCCCGGAGAACAGGTGGGCAGGAAGGGCGGGCGCCGGCTGTGGGAGGCCCGGCAGGAGCACTCACGTGGGCTGCACACAGGGCTGCTGGTTGCAGCGTCGGCGGATGGGCTTGGGCTTCTTCCTGTGTTCACACAAGTGCTGCTGCACCATCTGGTGGTCCCGTCGGCGGCGACAGCCATACTTGGTGAACTGGATACCTGCAGCGTGAGGCAGGCTGCTGTGGGTCTGGGGTGGCCAGCACTACTGCCCTGCTCAGGGCCTTGGGGGATAACACCCAGGGGAGGGCTTTGAGAGCCAATCCCACTTCCATCTGCACCTTTGCACAGCCATCATCAAAGCACCTTCCTTTATCCGCCCCAGGTGCACCTGTCCTGGTTTCTCCCGCATTCAGTGTTCTTAGAGGAAGCAGCCTGGCCGGGACACTGCTCTAGCAGTCTCCCCTAGCCCCAAGCCACATCTCAAAGGCCCTGCTCAGAGTCGTCTTCCACTTCCCCAAATTCTCCATGAGAAGGCGGAGGCATGAATAGGACCACATCAAATGGGGACATCAGCCCCCTCCTATCGCTTCTGGCTCCTCTCCTTTTCACAGACCCTGGGGTGCTGCCCACCTCCCCCCTGGGGTGCTGGATGGTCAGGGGAGATGGTACCTCCTCCACAGGTCTTGGTGCAGGGGGACCAGCTCTTGAGTGCCCACTCGTAGGTGTCTGTCTCCTCCAGAAGCACATTGTTGCTCCCGATCTGGGGCAGCAGGTCCTCATGGATGACGTACTTGTAGGTCAGGCTGCTGCGGGGGCCACCCTCCACCAGGGGGAGCGCCTGAGAGGAGATGGGAAAGAGATGGGCATGTAGTCAGCAGAACAGGTAGCAGCCAGGATGCTCTGGGGCAGTGGAGGTGAGCATGTGAATTCAGCTTAAGCCCCCAAGGGGTGCCACACATGCATCTGAACAGACGGCAGCCTGTGCGTGGTAAAGCCTCAGCTCTGACCATGCGCCTCCATGCACTCACACTGCCCAGCCTCTAAAAGGTGGTCAGCAGGCAGGGACTGGATATAAGGTCCTCCTCACCAGATACGTGGTTTGCAATAGTTCCTCCCACTCTGCAAGTGGACTGCTCAGTTCCTTGATAATGACCTTGGATGCACAGGCATTGGCACTTTTGTTGGAGCCCATTTTTTTTCCTTTTCCTTTTGCTCATGCTTTTGGCGTTCTCTCTCTGAGTCCCAGGTCATACAAACTTATGCCCTCTGCTTTGTTTCTTCTAAGACATCTATGGTTTTAGCTTTGAGATTTAGATCTTCGCTCTATTATGAAATTGGTGCTGGGGGTGGTATACACCTTTATGCTCCTGCCTTTACTTCTATCCCAGCACCTTTGTTCATCTCCCAATTAAATCAGCAGGCCATGGACAGAAGGGTGGCCAATGAGCAAGTGAGTGGAAAACCCGTACAAGATTAAATAAATATGTTGTCACCAGTAGGCCAGAGAGCTTTGTCTTACAGATCCTGCCACACTGATGAATGTAACACCAGGAACACAGCAGGACTCCCTGCCACCAGCCAGAGCCAAGGGCTAGTGGATGGGGCACCTCATAATCTGGACTACTGCGAGCTGACAATCCCTGCTCCCTGGCCCACAGAGATGGGTCTCCCCCCGGGCCACTGCCCTGGGCCCCTCAGGGAGGCAGCACTCCATGGGTCAGCTGTAATAAAGAGCCCTGGACTTGCTGCTGATCATGCATGGTGCAGCTTGATGCTGGCTGGCGACAGGGGTGGCAGGGTGGCAGGCCACCATCTCCCACCCCATAGGGAGGTGCACAAATTTCTTGGGGGGCAGCAAGCAGACTGCCTTTCCTCCCCCACCAGCTTCGAAGCACACATGGGGAGCTAAACCCTGGTCTTAGCTGCTGCAGACCTGCGGAGAGCATATTGCACTAGGCCTGTGTTGGCTCAGCACAGAGACAGTTGAGGGATTCAGGGAAGGGAACAGGAGGACAGCTGGAGGCACCACATGCAGCAGGACTCACCAGGACAGCGATGGCTTCAGGCAGGGGCCCGCTGGTCTTGAGGCTTTCCTTGGCATCTTGCACTGAGTGTTCCCATTCCAGGCCCAGTGCGGTGAAAGTCCGATTTGGGTTTGGGGTCGTTTTGTCCTTGGGGTTGAGGATGAAGTTTCCTGTCACCTGGTTCTTTATCGCTGGCCAAGAGAGGCAGGGGAGAGATCATGAGATTCCTACTTGTCTCCACAGGCGGTCAGTGAATGTACCGCTTAAGGCCTTCACAGTGAGCCCCTTGGGGTTCCCTGTCTATCTCCAGGGTCCTGTTTAGGCAGACTGCTAACACGCCGCCCTACCACCATCAAGCGCGCACACACACACACACACACACACACACACACACACACACACACACACCACTCCCTGACTCCACAGCCCTTCCCTTCCTCTGACCACAGCTATTGCTCAGCACAATCCCACCCACCCCCACTCCAAGAAGCTTTAGGGACACAACAGGCTAGCAGGGCCTCTGTGACATATCAAGGTGACATTGTAGCTCACCTGCCACCAGCTGTGAGGATTTGAACACAGACGCTTGTGGGAGAACCTAGCCACAACCTGATGTATAAGGAGCTACCTGCTCTCCACTGCCAGCCAGCATCCTGCTCCCACCCATACCCATAGCTTGGTAATTAAGGCTTCACAGGTCATAGGGCAGTGCCATGGGTTTTCAGCATCTCCCACCATCACTAGAAGACGCTCATTACCCCCAAAGGAAAGCCAGCCATTACTCGTTGGAAGTCCTGCCTACCTCCTCCCGCAGCCCTTCTCCCTCCATGGAGCTAGTTTCTCCTCTCTGCCCAAACTGGCCTTTGCCATGCATTTTCACTGTTTGGACTGCCCACTTAGTGTCATCAGAGATAAAACACACAAAACCAGCTCCCACATGACTGTTCTTCATTCAAATTTGTGACTGGCTTGGAGACCAACTTTGCGATCTGCCCACCCTTCTCAGTTGTGTAACTGCTATCTATCAAGGGTAGCTAACTCATGATAACTCTATCCATATATCACCGTAATGCAAAAATGGCCCTCCTCTGCCTGCACCTGTACTCCTCTGCACCAGGACCACCCTTTCTCCCACCAAGAAGTCGTCTGTTTTCTATCCCTTGAGTCTGGACAGGGCCATGTGACTTGAGCCAATAGGACCTTAGCAGACATATTGCAAGACACCTTAGAATCCTGGTCCTCTGCTCAAGAATCAAACTTGTGAGTTTCTCTTGCCCTCTCCTCCCCAAGTCCGGGGGCAGAGCTGGGGCCTGGCCACACCTCCTCACCTCCTAGCACTCACCAATGCATTGTGGGGGGGCCTTCTCCAGCCCTTCAATCAGGATGTGCCTGGCGCCCGCCGGGATCTGCACTAGCTTGAGAGCTGCCGTGGCAAGGAAGACCCAAAAGAGCAGTGAGTGCCATAGGCTGTGGTCCCACCTCCCCTACCCTGGAACCCAGAAAACCCCATCTGATCCCCACACTCTCCAGACCTCTGTGTACACGTCTGCGACTGGGGAGGCAGCCTTCCCGACTAGGGTCCCAATCGAAGGAGCCCCTACAGCTTCAAGGGCCCCCGAAATCCCCAACGGCCACTGCGGGTGTGGGAGCTATACTGTGGCTGGCTTTCTAGACCTCACCCTTTCTCTCCTTTGCTCTTCTGACTGTCTCTCCCCCTCCTTCCATGTCCTTCAGCCACCAGAGGCATTTAGCTGGGCTGGTCCATGAGGACCCCACATGGCTGTCCTGAGCCAGGGCCTGGAAACAAACCTTACTCAGGGTCACCAAGCCTCCCCCATCTCAATGAAAGGCAAGGCCAAGCTGTCATGCCCCCCCAAAGAGACACAGTTCATACTAAAGTGTGAAGGGCTGATATCTGTTCTGTCCCAAAGTAAGTCTGGTCAGACTAGAGAAGGGGAGGCTTTCAAAATAGAGCTGCTGCAGACTTAAAGAGAAAAATGGTGAGAAAGCAGAGAGGGACAGTCCAGCCTTGGCCACAACTTCCGGCCTGTCTGACCCTTGACTCCCAACCACGACCCCAAGACACAAAAAATGACTGAGTTCTTGGCATCACACACTGCCTGGCAGAAAAATGCTTCTCAAGCAGCTGCAAGGCCTCACACTGGACAGCAGTGTGCCCGGAAGCTGGGGTGGCCCTCATGTAGCTTCCAGCTCAGCAGCTCCAGGGGCTTTGGAGGGCATCTCCTGGCTCCCAACCTGCACCAGGCTGCACATACCAGCCCCTGTGCCGTCTCCACTCACCTGCCTGCTTGGAGGCCTTGCCCAGTGTTCCCTTCACAGTCTTGCAATGGGAGTTGTCACCACCACAGACTCCACACTTATCATCTGTTTTCATGGACCCCACCTCCTTGTCACAGCCGACAGGCTAAGGTGAAGAAGAGAGTTCACCAGGAGAAGGCTCCTTTCAATTCACCAGCCCTCCAGCCCCCAGGCCAGTAGCCCCTGGCTGCAGACCCCAGGCACACATCCCTGGGCTAGTGTAGATGCAATGTAGATCCCCCTGTGTGCAGGGAATGGGTGGAGGGGTGTGGGTGAGGTGATGTTGATCTTTCCAAGGAGAAGGAGGGCCTGCAGTGGGGGAGACACTCACCACACACTCGCCGCGGGCACAGACACTGTACGGGTCCCGGTAGCTGCAGCGAGTGCCATCATGTACCACCTGGTTCATGAACACCACGTCCCCCGTGTCCTCTGACTGGCAGATCAGCTCACACTTCTGGTCATCTGTGGGGAGACAGGCTGTGCTGAGCCCCCAGCTAGCTCAAAGTGGGCTGGCTCTGGAGTGACACTGGCACCAGGGCCAGCTGGGATCTCTGGAGGCAGTCTAGGTGTGGGGCTTAACATTCTTGCTGAGCAAGGGCAGGCCTTTGGGACAGCAGTAAAGTGCAAGCCCTCCTTATTCCATGTCTGAATCCTAGCTCTACTTCCAATCCAGGCTTCCTGCCGGTGTAGATAGCTGACTGCGGTGCAAGTTCTTGGGTCCCTGCTACCCACACAGGAGATCCAGACTGGGTTCTGTGCTCCTGGCTTTGACCTGACCTAGCCCTGGCTATTGTGGCATGAACCAACAGACACAAAATTGGTCGATCCCCTTCTTCTCTTTGCTTTTCAAATAAGTCATCAATAAAAATTTTTTGAAAAAAACAAAATTTCTGCTGTCCAGTTACAGATCAGCCCTGGGACCTTGGGCAAATTTATGTGGCCACTTGGAGCCTCAGTTCCCCACTTTTACCATACAAAATTGGGAAAATGGCACTTCCATTATTAAAACCAAGTAATGAAATACTAACAATAGTAAGCTGACACTTTGTGAATGCTTACCACACCAGGTATTTCTGAAACCTTTACAAACTTTGCTATACAGGTTTAAATACATTGCATGCATGAATTCATTTCACCATCTTAATATCCCAAGGAGGTAGGCTCTTTTAGCATAAGAGAGGATAAAACAGAGGACCAGAGAGGTTAGGGAACTTTCTCAGGGCCACACAGCCACATGGTGAGAGGCTCGGGCATGATGCTAACCCAAGCAAGGGCTGAAGTCCATGCTAACCTCCATAACACTTTCCCCAGCAGGTGCATGTGAACACCAGAGGCTGCATGACAGCTGAGCAAAATAGTCCAGCGGTTTGTATATGCATTTGTTTAGGGGAGGGGAAGACATCCTTGCTGGCTCTAACAGCAAAATGTTCCCTATCTGGGCTGTGGATGTCCTAAAAAGGAGACTCCAGACAACGCATAAACTTTGCTGTACTGCTTAGAAAAAGTGAGGTTGGGGGCTTGGCTAATTTCCTGGAATTTATCTCAAAGTCCTTGGAAAAACCTCAAGTCCAGCTGCCCATGGCTGTGCTACGGCTGCTGGTTGGGCTTCTGAATGGAACTGAAAGTACACCCCACCCACACTCGACTCCTAAGGAACCTGCTTGGCTCCCAGGACAATCTGGCAACGTCTTGCCTCCAGCACCCACCCAAGTGCCTCCAGAAGTTACATGCACAGGAGCCACATTGCCCATGGTACATGGGCCTAACCCTCTAGAATACAGTGACATCAGGACTGGGGCCCCAGGGACCTCGGCAGCCATGTTGGAGGCATGGTGAGGAAGTACTTAGCTGCCAGGAGTGGGAGGAAAGGACAACCCTAGCACCAGCAGGCTTCAGGTCCCTTCCAGTGTAAAAAATGCAGGTATTTCAGACACAAGCTGGGGAGTCAGGTCCTGTGAGCATCCCAGGCTTGGCGGAAGAAATGGGAGGAGCTGCTGCCTTTGAGGTCTGCCCCTGAGCTGGGCGGGAGGCAAGAAGACTACACCCATACGTCAAAGGACCCAAGAGGGCTGCAGGCAGCTGGGCTTTGGGCTTTTCCCAGGACTTTCAGATTAATTCCAGGAAGTGGATGAAATCCCCAGCCTTGCATTTTCTAAGAAGCCTGGCCAGTATTTATATGTGGTCTGGAACCTCCTTTTTAGGACATCAGTGTTTTCCCAGGACAGATGTCTGAAAGGCACTCAACTCCAACAGCTAGCATGCCTGCCAGCCTCCATTGCACCTATGGGGGAAGGACTTTGCCCCAAGATACTTTCCTTGCACCGGCCAGAAAACTGTTCTGTAAGTGGACATATCACAGGAGACCTTGATGGGGCAGTGATCTCAGGGATCAGCAAGCCAGCTGATGGTAATGCCCCTTGTTGCACCTCTACTGTCCCTGTGGGTTCCCTGTCAGGTTTAAGACTGAGAGCACACAGCGTTGGCAGACATCCAGAAACATGAAAGGGGTGGGTAGTGAGGTCCACTCACCGTCTTCAGGCTCATAGGGGATCCAGCTGTGCTTGGTGTTCTTGTGGATGTAGTAGGAGTTGCGTTTGGCACACTGCTGGGCCCGGAAGTCTTCGTAGGGCCCTGGACACTCCTCACTGTTGCAGATCTGGTACTCGAACATGGGCCCTGGGCATGAGTGGCCTTCATGGGCTGGACTGGGAAGGCACAGAGAGAGCCAGTGACCTTGCTGGGTGAGAAAGCCAGTGAGGGCCAGGTTTTCCACACAACCACCACAAGCAGCTCAGCATCACAGGGGGCTCGCTAACTCTTAAGCTACAGAGTGACCCACAGTGTGTCAGGGGATGGAGAGCTGCTAAGCTCAGAGCCCCATGGGTCCTGCTTCCTCTCTGACTGCTACAACCTCCAGGCACAGGTGCCATTGCAAGAAACAGACAGACAGACCAACCTGGGGCTCACTAATCCCCCACAGCTGGCTGGAAACCTAACCACACTCATCTTGGCACATTCCCGCATTTCCTACACAGGGCTGGCATGTAGCACGTGGTCCACAAATAACCCCAACACTCATAGTCAACCCCTGCCACTAATGTCATCATCACCCATTTAGTACAAGAAACTTGGATTTGAAATCCAAAGTGCTGACTTCCAAGCTCTGATCATGCAACTTCAGCCAAGCCCCTGCTTTAATTTCCCCTGGAAAAAGGGATCACATTATACACTTCCTATTGTGCCTGTGAAAAACACAAAAAGATAGTTTAAAGCAATCTTCATTCCCTTTCCTTGAAGCCAAGAGGATTGGGTGCATAAGGGCCAGCACCTTGTTCATAGATGAGCAACCACATAGGCTTTTTTAGGCACCCAAGGGTTCGCTTACCTAGCCAGGGACAATGCCAAATGTGTTGAATCAGTGCTGAAAGCACACACTGTACTGACTTCAGCCTCATAAATCAAGGGCTACAACTGCAAAGCCTAGTATGTGGTAGCTTCGCTCCAGGGTATAACTCTTGGCTGTGACTATGTGGTGGTTTATCAAGGTGAGCACCAATGGGCCTTGCATCACTCTGGCTCTTGTACCCCCAACAGCTGGAAGTCACAGGGTCACCAGTCCCTTTGGGCTCCCATGTGTAAAAGTCAATACAGACCGCTTCAGCGGGGAGGGGGCTTCTCACCCTGGAGGTGAGAGAGAAGCTTAGGAGTGACCACCCCCAAAGATGCTGATCAGCACGGTCCTGCAGCCTGCCTTTCTGCAGCACCCCTCAGACTGCCTGCTGTCGGCAGACTTGGGTGAGACCCTCTTCCCCAGAGGGTCCCAGGGCCAGCTGACTCACATAGCAGCCTCAGCCAGTTCCTATCTCTTCGGAGGCCATCCTTAGCAGGCTGCACCAACTTGGGAGATAGCGTGGGGAATTCTGGGGCTCAGAAGTTCCAGAACCATGGAGTAGAGGAGGGGGGTAAAAGGGAAGACAAGGGATGCCTCCCCTGGAATGCCCCTGGGGAATTCAGGATCCACATTCCTTTAGAATTCATCTCCTTGTCTGGGGGAAAATGCAGCACCCTGCCTCCACTGTGTCCTCAGCTCTCAGCACAAGGGTCCTCTGCCCTGCCCACCACAGCCAGGCACACTCACGGGGGGTTGTCACAGCTCCGGCTGCGGGATCGCACCCCGCCCCCGCACGACCGCGAGCAGGACCCGAAGCTGGTCCAGGAACTCCAGCCTCCATCCTCACTGTACATCAGCTCCTGTGTCTTCCAGACACAGTAACCTTTGAAGCACCACTGTGAGGAAGGAAAAGGCATGAGATCACCCCAAGCCATGGCAGCAGGGGCCACTGCAGCAGAGCCTGCCACAGAGGCTGCTGCAGCAGGTACACTGTGCAGGCAGAGAGCACCACAGGGGAGCCTGGAAAAGGGGATGGTATCAGCCTGAGCCTGGAATGATACCTCTACCAAGAGCACACTGCCCCATTGGGGTGGGAGGGCAGTGCCTTGGAGCTGGGCTCACAGCAGAAGATACAATCATCTCCCTCATTTTCTGGAGTCTCCCCAGCACTGCCCCTGACTCTGACCTGACTCTAGCTCCAGACTAGCACAGGTCAGGGGTGAGGTGGGATGGAGGATGCTTGGTCAGGACTCAGCAGGATCAGAAAAGTTCCACCAATGACTCAAGGTCACCAAACAGTGACCAAGCATGACACAGAAGCAGCTGTGACACCTGCCAGAAGGAGGTCAGACACCCACACGTGCCTGAGGAGCAAACACACCAGGAAAGAGATAAAAGGGCAGTTTGGGGTTTGGGAAGAAAATATCTGTGAAACAGCATGGCATGGGCAGGGAGGGAGGAAGACCCTAGTATCTGCCCTTCATCTCCTCTCCCTGTGAGACCCCATCAAGGCTCTTAAGCTGTTTGAGCTTGAGCCCCTCCATTCATCTGTAAAGTGTGTGTGGACATCATGCTAACAGGCTGCCAGCCTTCAAGGCCAAGTGGAGAGAGTTGCCAGGAAGACTCCATGCATGTCCACTAGAACCCTGGCTGCCCTCCCCAGTGCCTCCCACCCCTCATCTTTATATTCACCTATGGTGGGAAGGAGGTAGGGGTCCCCAGAACTGCACCCCAGAAACTACAGTACCTTTCCTGGGGCACACTGGGTGCCATCCAGTGGGGGCCCCTTCTTGGTCTTGCAGAAGTGTGGGTTGTCGGGGTGGGAACACCACAGCTGCTTGCAGGGATCCAAGAGCATAAACTGTGTGGTGAGGGGACAGAATCACTAGGCGGGACTGGCTCAGTTCTACCCATCTGTCCATGGGGCCAAGGGGCAAGGAAGGGGGTGCTGTGTTTCAGGAGCCGGGGTGCAGAAGGCAAGCAGAAGCTCACACAGCCTCAGGCTCAACACCACCCAAACCACCAGAGACCTCTGGGGTCCTGCTGCCTCCCCAGAGAAGAAAGCCCACACACAGGACATATCTCTCATCCCCAACCTCTCCCTGGCTCTCCTTCCCTGCCCTCCAGAACCCACTTTGTCATTGGACTGGGATCAGGATTTGAGGTTCCACAGAGGACTGGGCCCCATGCACATGGGAGCACTGCAGGGCCCCCAACAAGGCTGAGGCTCCCACCTCCTTGTGACCTGGACATGTTAGTGGCAGTGTTCCCCAGGCTGTCCAAGAATGCCTTAGTGGGACTTTGTTGGAGCAGGCACTCCAATGAGGCCTGAACCCCACCTACAGGAGCCTCTCATGGTTCCCAGCAGGATAGGGTGGGGTGGAGGTGAAGCACGGAGCACCAGACACTTGCCCCTGCCCTGAGAAATCCTTTCCCTGCGCCTCCAGCAGATACCAGGTTCTCTCCTGGGCAGCTGGAGCTGACACTGAAGGGCTATATTCACTCAGGTATGGAATTGAACCCCTTGAGAGAGGCCATGTTTTACATGATACCATAGGTGAGGAGCTAGACTAGAATATTCTGCCAAAGTACCATGCCTGATCTGACTCCAGGACTGAGTCATGGATAAGCTCCCAGGTGGCCAGCCCAGCCACAATCCCCTTACCACCTTCCCCAGGGCAAAATCACTCTCAGGCCATTGTACATACCTGTCCCCACCCAGAAGGACTTCGCAGCACCCTGCTCACCCTGCACGCCCACACCATGGCTAGCTCCAAGTCTGCAAGTCCATCCCCAATCCCACTTGCTGGCAGGTATCCTGCAACTGAACAGCCTGGCGGGCATGGCCAGATCAAGGCTAGTGGCATACTCACCTGGATGCACTTTCGGTAGCCAGTGCCAAAGTCGAGGCGGCACTGCTCATCCATTGAGTAGTTAATTCCAGGCAGCACCGGGGGTTCAGGCCAGTTGGGCTTGAAGGGGTTGTCAAGGAGGCAGGTGTAATAGCTGGCCAGCACAGACCAAGAAAATGAGGCTGAGGGCAGGAAGTCCCAAGGTTTCCCTGCCCAGGAGCTGGACCTCCAAATGAGGACAGAAAGCTAACAAGAATCTGACCCCCCTAACCCTATCCTTGGAGCTGTCTTCCTAACCTCACTTCTACCAGTGACTGTGTGTCAGGAAGGGCCCTACACACAGGAGAGGATAAGGGGAACAGCCAGGACTGGGCATAAGTACTCAGCTGACAGCTGGCTGAGATCTCCATTGTACCTATGATAGAGGGTGAACCTGAGGCCAAGAGTTGACTTGTGGACAGCATGAACACAGGAAAGTCCACTCACCAGGCAGAACACTGGGCAGGCACCTTGGCCAGCTGCTGCAAAGGTTAGTGACTCCCTCTGCCTCCACCCAAGGCCACCCCAGCCCCCACTCTCGGACCTTGAGTGCCAGACTGAAACACTTATCCTAGATGTAACCCAACATCCCTGGAGATCTAGGAGATGACTGGCCAAGCCAGGAATTGAATGTGTATGGCTGGAGCCAGGGCTGGGTGCAGAGAAGGGAAGTGAGCACCCTCCCTGGGCACCCCTTCCCAGCAGGCTTGGGGGAGGAGAGTGGAGACAGGGACACTCCAGTCCCAGGCCTGAGGCTCATAACCTTCAGCAAACGTGAATAGCACCCACAATGCTTGATGAAGGCACATTCCCAGGCCCTACTCTGGCAGATTCTAAGTCAGTACCTTAGGTGGGACTGGGACATCTGTGCTTTTACCAAGACTTTTATGCCAGTGATCACCTGCATACACTTTGAAACATGAGACCCACTCCCCTGGTGGTGCTTGGGGACAAAGGGGAAGAAGCATCAAGCAGCTGGGTGGGGGAGGCGGGAGGGTGACATACGAGAGGTAACGCCTGAGCTCCAGCCTGCTGCAGTGGGACCAGTGGAAGCGGTGGAAGGAGGACTGCACCAGTGGCGCCATGACACTGCCCAGGCTGACGTCATCGGCACAGGTGTTCATCTGCCCATCATGCTGCAAGCCCAGCCTGGAAGGTGGCAGGTAGGGTAAAGGGGACAGAGGGAGCCTTGAGTCACATAGCCCATGCTGGGAGACCCTGCCCTGACCAGAAATCCAGATCATGCCTCCCCGGCCTTGGTGTTTCCACTATGTGGTGGGGAGGACTCCCTCCTCTCTGCCAGGCTGTCAGGTGGAAGCAGCCCCTTGGAGATCACATTCATGCCAACCCTTAAGGTTTTGTCCCACTGTTCTCTGTTCTGGGATGCCTGCCTCCTCCTCAAACTCCATTTGTGTCCTCACAGCTCCCCAGGCCAGCCCAAGCCTCACTTGTACTACAAGACGCCAAACCCAGCTTTTGCCTGGGCTCACCACAGTGGAGCCACTTGCCCTGTGCATTAACACGCACACCACTGTCTCCCATGATACCCATGGCCTTTGAGAGCAGGAGACAGGTCTCACTCAAAACTCAGTTTAATTCAATCTCATACTGAGCCAGCCCCAGAAGCTGCTCCAAGATCCCGTGGGACTATCACTGAGCTATGCAAGGGGTGGGCTCCTGCCAGGATGGTTAGCATGCAACAGCCAGCTCTGCACCATTGGCCTTGAATGCCAAAGCCCAGTGTTTCATGTTCTTAAATACCAGACAGACACAGGAGCCATGGGCTTGGTCTTATCTCTGCCTTCGTGGGTTCCCCTGGGGTTGGTCTCCATGATGCAGATGGGGAAAAACAAGACCCCAAGAGAGGAGGCACCACCTGGCAAGGGGCAGAGCTGGGAGAGAATGGGCTGATAGTGCCCCTTAGCCCCACAGCCCCTGTGGACAGACAAGGCCAGACAACACGGCCATGGCCTGTCCCTGGACAGTGGCTCATGAGTTTCTGTCCAGCACGTGGCTTAAGGGCTCCTCTACCCACTCCCTCACTACAGCCCCAGCCTTAGAACAGGGCCAGGCACCTGGTGGGTGCTCAGCAAATGTGACTGAATGGGCAAGCGTGCTCTAAAGCCAAGTCCAAGTGCCAGGAGATGACATACCAGCTGCTGTCTGAGCCCCAAGTGCACCTGTTTACAATGGGCTCTAGCCAGCTCTTCAGTGAGCACCAAGCACCAGCACAGGTTGGATTGGGTCTCACAAAGGCCTTGAGCTATGGATAAGATGAAGACAACCCAGCGGGCAGGCTCTGTCCCATGACAGGGCCAGTGTCACTGCCCTGTTAATGTGCTGCTCCCCACAGCTCTGGGACTGGGAGGCAGTACCCAATGCAAAGTCTCCCTTCAGGTGCAGTTCTGGGATGCTGTGCAACCAGAACACCAGGACCATAGCCTGGTCCTGGGTATGGCTTCCCACATGCAGACTTTGCCAGAGCTCACAGCACAGCCCACAGCACAGAACTGTCAGCCTTACCCACCCACTTGGTGCCACTTACACATGGCCAGTCTCGTGGGCCACCACAAAGGTGGAGGAGAAACCATCCTCAAGGTCAAGGGTACAGCTTCTTAGGGGATGGCACATGCCAGCAGTAGGTGCATACCCTGCCAGGGAGAATGAAAGAGAGCAGGTGAGGTGGTCTTGGCTTGCTCAGTGCTGGGGAAAAAGGCCCACCAAGCTCCACCCACAGCCCAGCACACCTGGGCCCAGCAGGTTCACAGGTAAGGCTTGGCAGCCTCCCTCCCGGCTCATGGCTTTCCCAGCCTCCCCCTAGACAAGGCAGCAGGATTTCCAGACAAGACCCGAGTCTGTGCACCCTTGATCTCAGGCTGCCTCCTGCAGTCTTGCCCTTCGTCTGTCAGTCAGCAAACTCATCAGCAGTGCTTTCCATGTGTTTGGGATAGCAGAGGGAGTCAGGGGTGGCACCATTTCAGAAATCATGGGGAAGATAGCAAGACTTAGACCCAAGCCCCTGACCCACAACCCTGACATGCCCCACCCATAGTAATGGCAAGAGATCTGATCAAACAACCAGACCTGGTGATAAGCTGAGGTGGGGTGGGCCTGAAGGGCCAGAGTTCAGGGAGCAGGTGGGGGTCCAGGGGAGATCTGGAGGTTATAGTTGAGAGGGCCCAGGAAGTGCTTTGTGGGAAGCAGCAGAGCTGGGTGGGAGAACAGGGCTCATGGGCCAGGTACACAGGTGAAGCACAGGTGAGCCACATGGGAGTAGGCGGGGTGGCTGGGCTGGCACGCAGAGGCAAGGACAGCAGCCTCTCTGCACACAGCACTATGAGGTATAAGGCCTGGATGCTGGGGAACCTGGTACAGGCAAGGAGTGCCCAAGCTGGACAAGACCTCAGAGGCAAGGCTGACAATGGACAGGGCTAAACAGCTACTAGCATTGCTGAAATAGTCTTTATTCTACAGCAGGTGGAGATGTCCTGGAGGTTTGAGGATTTGTTCTAAATGTGATGAAATTACACATAGGAGCATGTGCATGTGTGTTGTATCTGGGATGCCTAGACACAAAGGTGCATGTTATTGTGTGCATGTGCCTGTTCAGATACAAGGGTGCATTTGTGTGTGCAATGCCTGGGCACTTGAGTATGGATGCGAGCATTGTCTGTGTGTACAAAAACCACACCTGGGACTTGAATGTCTCGGCCCTCTGGATAGCCAGGGCTGGCTGACTCATTTCCAGCATGAATGCAAAAACAAATAGCAAGCTTCCAAACAGGCAGGGGTTGGGGCAGTTAAATACAGGTTCCAGGGTTTGCCCACACACTGCCCCCTGCAGGCTCAATGGAGACAACAGACATGCACTGGGGTCCCTTTCCATGTGTCCCACAACACTGTTCATTTGTCCATTCATATCCTGTCTTGCGCCATCTTCCTGGGGAAAGCCCATCCATTTCCAGACCCAGCCCTAGACTTCTGCCTCTATCTTAACAGGCTACACACACATGCACACACACCCAGCCCGAAGTAAGCACAGTACCTTGCATACCTGCAGGTCCAAACTTCTGCCGAGTGAGGAAGATCACGTGGTCGTGGTGCTCAGGATGGTTGGGGTCCTGGCGCTGCTGAGACTGAGCCCAGCGACATACCTGGTCCAGGCTACGGGCAGGATTCCCAAGCTCGATCAGGCTCAGGGACTAGGGCAGGGCCACAAGAACAGGGACAGCACAACAACTGGGTCAGAGTCCAGGATGCAGTACACATGGAAGTGAGGGCCAAGGCCAGAGGACCATGCCAGTGTCCCTACTCCTTCATGCCAGGTCATGCATCACAGGCAGCTTCAAGGACAGCAGCCCCTCTGCACACAGCACTACGAGGTATGAGGCCTGGGTGCTGGGGAACCTGGTACCTGTTACTTCCCCATCTTGGAGAGTAATAAGTGAGTGAGCTGAGATGGCAGAGCCCCAGAGCCAGCAGGCTCAAGCACAAGAGCACATGTTTCAGCACTGCCCCTCCTGAAGCCCCAGTCACTCATCTGTCCTTCAAGGACATGGGGCTGTCAGCTTCTCCTGCTCACGCCCTCCAAATATCCAAGTCACAGCAACCAGGAGGGATGCCATGGCCTCAGGGTCACAATTCTGCAGACATTGTGGCCTGCACGCTGGTCCCTCCACCCCAGGCAAGAAGAGTGGGGGACACACCTGGTAGTAGCCAACCATGATCAGGCGAACAATGACAAGGTTCAGATGGGTGCCCAGGGAGTCGTCGTGGTAGATCTCATCCACCTGCAAGAGGAGCAGAGTGCACAGACTGAGAGCCTGCTACACACAGGCAGGTGCTATGCTAAGCACCCACCACATGGTTTCCTTCTTAGACAGGAAGTCATATCCCAGCTGCGCGGAAGGTGAGACAAGCTTTGGAGAGGCCCAAGACTCCCCTGAGGACACACAGCTAACAAGCAACAGAGCTGGGGTTCAGTCAGATCCTGGGTGGTAGCTCATGCCCAGCCTCAGCTCTTCCCTGAAGCTGCGGTACAGAGGAGTCCATTTTTAGGGTCACTAGTCTAAGGCTCACCTTTGCACATTTCCCACGAGCATCCTTCAAAAATGTCACCTGGTTTAGGGAAGCCTGCTTGTCCTAACACCCGTGTGCCTTTCCACACATCACTGCACTATTGTCAGTCCAGGTCCAGGGAGGCAGCGCGGGTCTCCTCTCCGGGGCAAAGAGCTCAGTAGGTGTGGACCAGTAGCTTCTGCATGGCTAGGGAGCCAGTAGGAAATGCCCCTTTCCCTGGGGCCAGGAGCTTATGCATGGAGCCTCACACTGTTCAAAGAGACCTCAAGCTGCTCCAGGCCTCTGCACGTCCACTTGGAGGCCAGAGAGCTGCTCTCCGCCTGGGAGGTCCCAGGCTCCTGCACTGTCCCATGGTGCACTCCAGCTTGTTTCCCTCTGCCCACCCACTCCAGCTTGTTTTAAATAACTTTCCCCACACCCTAAGTATCAAATATGTCACTGTAAAACAAAATTGAAAAATACCCCAAAAAGGAACAAAATTAGTCCCTTACACTAGGCATCAGATTTATAATTCCCACAACTATCACACTCCCTGGTGTGTGTGTGTGTGTGTGTGTGTCCCATTCTACAAAACCACGTTCCTACTGGAGACACACTGTTCTGATTCTGCCCATTCTGTGGGACACAATTCTGTGTGATGTTCAAGATTTATCAGAAAGAGAGAGTTATTAGGGGACGGGGATAGATAGAAAGATCTGGTTTGGGCCCAGCATGGTAGCCTAGTGGCTAAAGTCCTTGCCTTGACTGCACCAGGATCCCATATGGGCGCTGGTTCTAATCCTGGCAGCCCTGCTTCCCATCCAGCTCCCTGCTTGTGGCCTGGGAAAGCAGGCAAGGATGGCCTAAAGCCTTGGGACCCTTCACCTGTGTGGGAGACCCAGAAGAAGTTCCTGGCTCCTGGTTTTGGATTGGCTCAGCTCCAGCTGTCATGGCCACTTGGGGAGTTAGTCAGTAGACAGAAGATCTTTCTGTATTTCCTTCTCTCTGTAAATCTGACTTTCCAACAAAAAATAAATAAATCTTGAAAGAAAAAAGGAAAAAGAAAAAAGATGTGGTTTACTCAAAATGACCACACAACAGCCAGGGTTGGGCTATGAACCTGGAACTCCACCAGGAATTCCCACAAGTGGCAAGTAACTGGGCCATCCTGTGACATTTACAGCAGGGAGTGCATCAGCTCCATAAGCAGTGAGCTGAACGGGAAGGGAAGCAGAGCAGCCAGGACTCAAACCAGTGCTCATATGGGATGCCAGTGCTACAGGCAGTGGCTTAACCCTGCTGTGTCACATCTCTGTGTATTTAAGTGTCCCATCTAGCACCCACATATGAGATGCTGTCACTCGTGTACCTGGTGCCCTAGTTGTACCTTGAGACACTCAGGAAAAAGTAATTTGCTCAAGAAGGGAAATGCAACCTGCTCTGGGAGCCCTTGCTAGGACTCAACCATGGATAAGCAGCTGTGGGGAATCCTGGGTTCAAACCCCAGCTCTGCTTCTTATAAGCACAGAGGGTGGCTTGGGGCATAGCAGGGAACCCCTTGGACCCTCTGACAGCAAGCCTGGCACTGGTGTGTGCAAATGGCCAGGAGCTGCGAGCTAGCCCCACAGAGCACAGGGTCCTCAGGTACTGTCAGTGGCCAGTCAGCACAGCAAGCAGAGTGGAACCTGCCTGGCCCCTGGCCACCACCGTGCAGGGAGCTGGCAGGGAGCCTCATGCAGGGGCCTGTTCTCCCCATGCCTTCCAGTTACCATTTCTTTTCTACTTCTAAGCAAAGCAACTGACCAGCAACCCACAAAGGGACTGCTGACAACCCAACAGGAAGCAGCAGAGCTCCACAGCATACATGTGTGAGTGTTCCACGGGGAGCGAGGGTCGACAGGGTACTGAAGATCTGCTCTCATGCTCACATAGCCCTCTGGGGCCAGCCAAGCACTGAGCTAGGCTGTGGGGACACAGTCTCATGGTCAGCGGAAGCCCAGCCCCAGCCCACCCGTCTCAGGGCCCAGGGCTGGAAGCGGCCCCAGTACATGAACATGTAGGCTGTGCAGCAGCCAGTGGCAGACTTTCAGGCACCCGTGGCAGCATCCAGCTGTGAAGATCATAGCCCAGCTCCCTGCTGTGGGAAAGCAGTTCCCCACCCCACACCCCTGCATACACAAAAGGAATGATGAAAAGGCTAAGAGGGTAGGGTTTCCTTCCCGCCTTCCTCCTGCCATCTCCAGTGGGAGCCAAGACATTATGGGAGCAGAGCACTCCAGTGTGCAGCAACCCTGTCCTTCTAACCCACACACTCCAGACTAGTCCCGGAAGGGACTGATGACAAGGGGCGGGGCCTGTCAGCCACACACAAACTCCCTAGTGGGACTCCCACTGCAGCATCTTTGGCACTTGCTGATGCATCTGTGATAGCATGGCTCTTAAACTGCTGGCCTCCTCAGTTCACCAGTGCCACAACATGCCTTTCTTCCATGCAGGGGTGTGGTCAGTGTGGACCTCTCTGACGTGCTCTGTGAGCAAACCAAGGCAAGACATGTTCTACACAGGCAGGTTGTCTGTGCATCACACACCCACCAAGGAGCCGGCAGTCATCACAAGCCAGAAGGCAGGAAGGCCCTAGGCATTGTTTGGGGCATTAAGTGCTTCTGCAGGACCTCTGGGTAACTTCCTCAGGAGAACACTGTCCTCCACGTGTCCATCTCACAGAGTGGACCATATATATAGTAACTCCAAAACATCCGACCCCACTATTCATCCCAGGTCCCCATCCATCCACCCCACCACCAGCAGGCCCAATCCAATAATTAAGTTACCCCAGCAGCTGCCACTTGCAGCTAGGCATACAGTAGGACTGTGGCTCTGAGCAGTAGGGAGAATCAGAGGTCAACTTTGCCATGCCAGAAGGAAGCTGGGTGGGGCCCCCAGAGGCCCTTGTACTCCCAACACTGAGCAAACAGAGAGGACCAACTCCCCAGAAAGGACCACTGAGCAGGGGGAAGTAGCCTGGTGACTAAGGGCATCAGGGGTGCTAGCTCCACAGCACAGACTCCACCTGCCATGGCCTAGGGGATACAGAAAAGGGAGACTTGGGGGAGGGTAAGAGGGACCTGGAGCTGTCACTCCTGAAGGGATGGCATGATCCCTGGGTGAGGCCCTACAGGAGGAGGAGAAGCACAGAGGACAGTGGCAGAGAAGAAGCAGGCAGGAACCAAACGAAGCCATCAAGAAAACCCCATGCTCATTGGCAATCAAGGGAACAGGATGGATGGCTATTCCTCCTAAATTTCACACTGAAATTCCAACCTTGAAGTGATGACATGGGATGGTAGTGTCCTGGGGGGGCTGTGAGGTCAGAAGAGGGGAGACTTGATTCATAAGGTTCATGTCTTTACACAAGTGGCCTTCCGCGGAGGGCCCAGCAGCAGGGGCTACTTGGCAACCAGACACCCACGGGGCCCTCCATCACAGACTTGCAGCATGCAAAACTCTAGGCAACAAAGTTGTTTGTGAGCAGTCCGGTGCATATTGTTTTCTTGCAGTGATTCAACTGGACTGCAGCAATGGTGTCCCATGGCACAAAGTATTTCTTCCCAGCCAGGACTCACATGGATCCAGCAGTGAAAAACTCAAAGCCTCTGCCGAGTTCTCTGCATCCAAAGTCACCTCTGGCCTCCTCTTCCACCTCCTGTACTGGCCTCAAGTCAACCCCCCACGGAGTACACCTGCTCCCTTCCTGGCCACAGAAGGTGACAGTCTCCCAGCGATATCTCCCTAAGCGTGCTTCATTCAGAGAGATCTAACAGACTGCATGACAGGGCCTGACCGCAGTGTTTGTAGAAGACACTGAATGAATGCCATCAAGCACCCGGACAAAAAACCACCAACAACCTAGAATCCCACACTCAGCAAAACTGGTTTCACTTATTTATTTGAAAGGCAGAGTTACAGAGAGATTTTCCATCTGTTAGTTTACTCCCCAAGTGACTGCAAAAGCCAGGCATGAACCAGGCCAAAGCCAGAAGCTCCATTTGGGTCTCCCACATGAGTTTAGGGGTCCAAGGATTGGGAGGGTCATCCTCTGATACTCTCCTGTCATCAGCAGGGAGCTGAGCCAGAAGTGAAGCAGCTGGGACTCAAACCAGAACCCGTATGGGATGCTAGCACTGCAGGAAGCAACTTAAAATACTGAGCCACAATGCTGGTTCCAGCAGCCCTGTTTAAGAATCATGATGAAATGAAGACAGTATCAGTGACTGGTGGGCTCAGCAAGTTAAACCACCACTTGTGATGCCAGTATTCCATATCAGAATGCCAGTTTGAGTTCCAGTTGCTCTGTTTCCAATCCAGCATCTGCTAATGTGCCTGGAAGGTTGCAAAAAAAAATGGCTCAAGAATTTGAGCCCTTAACACTCCACAGGAGACCAGGATGGCTCCTGTCTGAGACCTGGCCCGACCCCAACTGTTGAGACCATATGGGGAGTGAACCAGCAGATGAAAAACCAATCTCTCTCAATCTCTCCCCATCACTCTGCATTTCAAATGATTAAATTTTCTTAAAAAGAAATGAAGGCAGCACCAGATAAACAAAAACTGACAGAGTCACACAGATCTCCCTCAGCACTGTGTGAAGGAAAAGGACTCAGAAACAAGCCCGACAAGTCAGATAGATACCTGGAAGGTTAGAGTGGAGTTCAGCAACGAGGGACAGTCTGGTCTACTTCACACTCCACAGGATATTATGAATGAAGAACCATTCCGCTCTCTTCCCCCTCCATTCAAAACCAACAGCAGTGGGGCTGGTGCTGCCATTCCAAGTCCCCTGGTTCAGCCTCATGGGCCTCAGCACTCTCACCTGCACCAGTCCCACCAGCTTAGCCCCTAGGGAGAAACTCAGCGGCTGTGACTCCAGCCAGAGCTGTCTTTACACCTTGTATGGGCCAAGGAGGTAACTGGACAGCCGGAACTGGAGTAGTGGCATGGAGCCACAGCCAGAAGTGTGGCTCTGAGGTGCTGAGGCTCTGGAGAGACCCTCCTGGAACATATACAGGTACTCTCTGCCTGGCTACAGCCTGGCTCCGTCAGCCTCACCACCCCCTCCTCTCAGCTACCTTCCAAGTGCTAGCAGTGAGGTCACAGCCTGCTCAAGGCTGCTCAGAAACTGCTTCCCATGATGGGACACAGGGCAGGACAGCCACTATCCTGTGGGGGCAAACAGAACAGTGAATGTCTGGTTTTCTTTCTGTGTCTAATCCTGCCTTTCTGTTAAATCAATATATCTTAAAAATAAGAAAAAGACTAAAAGTACTCTTCTAATAAACATAAATGTGGGAATGTAGGAATTTGTGTGTGTATACTTTACTTGGCATAGTACACACACGTTTCACACATGAGTGCCCAGACAGGAGCCTGTGTAATGTATGCCTATGAGCATATGTGGGGACATAAAAATGACCAAGATCTTGCTGCCTGAGACCCTTGCTTTCTCTGGCACTCAGGAGACTGACACACAGAAGTCGGGGCTATGATTGGTTCTCCCCACCCCAACGTGCCACACTCACTCACTGATGTCATCCCCAGGATCCTGGAGTCCAAGCAAGATCACTCTCAGAGCAGTGGAAGGAAGTGGCTGAGCCTATTTCCCAGTTGGCTTGGGTCCCTGGCCCCAAGTTCATGATCACAACTCTGATGCCAGCTACAAGTGAGAAGTTTTCTGTGCCTTTAACCAGCCCATCTCTTGAAGGTGTGGCTGCCTCCAGGACTCCCTGGAGTCTTTAGGCCAGCCTGGGCCTGGGACTAGACCTGGGCCTGGCATCTGGCTTCTCCTGGCATCTGGTTGCTCAGCCCACCTCGCAGCCAGGCTGTTTGAGACAGAATGGCTCCAGAGCGCACAGGCCTGGACTCACCCAGTCCAACGGAGTCTCTTCCATGAGGCCACAATGCTCAGCATTGATATCTGCAAAATGTAGCAGCTCTTCTGTCACGAGCTGGCCTGGCTGTGCAGAAACAGAGGCAGGGAGTGGCCTGGGCAGACCCCTGCTGCTGACTGCTATGTCAGCTCAGCCCCCTGAGTCCAGCTCCTATGATGGGGGTGCACGCTCACCAATCATGGAGATGGGAGGTGTGGGTGATGGCCAGGTACACAAAGCAGGGCCTGGCACCCAACACAGGCTGGCTCAGCGGTATGTTGGTTTTAGAAAGCTTGCTTTCCTTCTCTGGAGGTTGCTAAGATTACCAAGAAACAAGTTTTGGGGAATCTCACCACCAGCAGGTGGAGTGAGATGCCGGATTCAGAAGTGCTTTATGTATTGGAGCCCTGCATGCAGGATCCCTCATTATAACCACATCTCTCATGCCAGGGACTGCAGTCTCCAAACTTTTGTGATCAGCCCTGTTCTCTGCCCAGTGGGTTTCCTCTGAGAATATAGCTCCCTGGGTACTGCATGATGTGTCACAGCATCCTTGACCTCTGTCTGCCAGATGTGTCACAGGACCCCACCTCCTCCAGCTGCCACAACCCACAGATGTCTCTAGGTACAGCCAATGTTGCCAGGTAAGAATCACTGCCTGGGGCTGGCATTGTGGCACAGTGAGCGGAGCATATAGCATCCCACATCAGAGTACTGGTTTGAGTCCTAGCTACTCCACTTTTGACCTAGCTCCCTGCTAGTGTGCCTGGGAAAGTCTCTGGCACCCAAACGCTTATGACTCTGTGCCCAGATGGGGGTCCTGCCTTCTACCTAGCCCAGCCATTGTAGCCATTTGAGCAGATGAGCCAGCAGATGGGAGATCTCTGTTTCTGTGTTGTTCTGCCTCTCAAATAAATAAATCTTTGGGCCTGGCACTGTGGCATAGCGGCTAAAGTCCTCGCCTTGAACGCACCAGGATCCCATATGGGCACCGGTTCTAATCCCGGCAGCTCCACTTCCCATCCAGTTCCCTGCTTGTGGCCTGGGAAAGCAGTTGAGGACGGCCCAACGCCTTGGGACCCTGCACCCGCATGGGAGACATGAAGGAAATTCCTGGAGGAAGTTTCTGGCTCCTAGCTTCAAATTGGCACAGCACTGGCCGTTGCGGCCACTTTGGGAGTGAATCATTGGACGGAAGATCTTCCTCTCTGTTTCTCCTCCTTTCTGTATATCTGACTTTGTAATAAAAATAAATAAATCTTAAAAACATGAAATCTTGGGTCCCTGACACCTATGTGGGAGATACGGATTGGTATCCCAGGTCCCCGCTTATCTTGGCTCAGCCCTAGCTGTTGGAGGTATTTGGGAAGTGAGCCAGAAGATGAGCAAGCTTGCTCATTCTCTTTTTCTCTCTCTGTTTTATAAATTTAAAAAAAAAGGAAATTTTAAAAAGAAGAAAAAAGAGATGTTTTACAAAGCCCTACACAATGCAGGCAGAGGCCCTTGCCAAGGTCACCCAGTTGGCTAGGTAAGGGGCTACCCTCCCAGCAGCCACCTCACCTAAGGTACAAATGCAGTCATGCTATGACCCAGATAACACAGACAACACCAGCTGTGTGCCACCCTACAGTTTCTTTCAGGGACATGAGAATGGCCATGGGATAGTTCCCAAAAGTATATTACCACTCACTTCATTTGCAGTCCCCAGAACCTCGCGTAGTCAGTATCATCAATGCTGTTTTAGAAGTGTGGCAGTATCTCAACTGAACTTGAACTATCTCAACTGAACTTGAACTATGGTTATGCAACAAGGTGGAGGAATCCACCATGGGGGGAGGGGTATGGGAGGGGTGGGGGGAATCCCCAGCGCCTATAAAACTGTACCACATAACACAATGTAAACAACAATAAAATTTAAAAAAAAAAAAAAAGAAGTGTGGCAGTGGAAACACAAGAGGATCGGGCACCGGCCCCAAGGTCTTGGAGGGGGAGGAATGGGTGGGGGCTCTGCAGTCTTTGCATGTGCTTCAGAGGTTCAAACTCTTTTCCATGGACGGAAGAAAAGCTGGCACTGTCCCTCTCTGGGCCACATAATGCAGCCTGCCAACTTCTCTGTCCTCTCCGAACAGATCCGAGAAGCCTAGCCTAAGGCCACTGAAGGCCTGTGTGGAACCAGAACCTCCAGCCTCTGAGACAGGTGTCATATCAGCTCGTCAGGGGTTATCAGGTTCACTCTGGCCTCTTTCGTGGCGTAGCTGAACGTTGCTGATGATCCGTTCACCCGGCCACCAGGAGAGACTCAGAGCTCAGAGGGACCTGCCATGCTGCCTCCCACTTTTTTTGATTTTGACACTTAGAAATTCAGCATCTTCACAGGGACTTAACGTTTGTAACTTCTCTGCAAGGTTTTCAACCTGAAAGGCCTGGGTTCCTGCAGGGAGACACAGTACTGCTGGCCAGGCAAGCACTTTCTACTTCTGCTTGAACATCTGCCCCAGTCACATTCTTCTTACCAATCTGGCCTCTGGGAACAGTCAAGGCCCAGGCCAGGGCTCTGGAAAGCCCCACAGAGACAGCCAGCCTGCAGGCGCTCTGCCAGGCCAGTCCAAGAGGCCTGGGAACCAGCATTTAGCTCTGAATGCTGAGTCTTGGGAAAAAGATCCCAGGCCACCCCTGAGCCAGACTCTGAGTGTATCCACAGCCAGCAGCCACCATGCACAGGCCCTGGGCCTGATGGCCAACAGCCAGCCAAGCCCAGGCATGCACATGCCACCAGGGATTAATAGCAGGCCAGTTAACTGGGGCTCATGTCCCCAGAGTCCAGCTGCCAAGAAATAAGTTTTGCCAGCTCTCGGTCCTCTGTGGTTCACAACAGGCCCCAGAGTCAGGCCTGGGCACTTACGATGTTCATGTAGGTGAGGATGTAGTTCTGCACATGTTCCCTGCCATGGAAGCGCACCACTGAGTCATCCACTGCCAGCAGCACCTCCATGTTGTAGCTGCCGGGGCTGGCATGTCGCCGTTTCCGCTCCGCCTGGTGCAGCTGCTCTTTCACCTGGCCCAGCACGTTGGGAAGGTTGCCTGGGCCAAAGGCTGGAACAAAACGGGAAGAGAGTGAGGTGGTGATAGCCTTGTGAGAGGCTATCACTATGCCACACCCCACCCCACCCCACCCCACATGCATATCCCATCGTGCCTGTGCAGGCCAGGCCAGGCCAGGCCAGTGCAGGACCTGGGGCGAGGCCGCAAGCAGCACAGGAGTGAGAAGCAGCCCTGAGCAGGGAGCCTGGGTTCCCATCTTCCTGTGTGTCCCAGCCTCGACTTCCCCTCCTACAAAGTGGGGATGAAGACTCCTCCATCTCTTACCCCACAGGGACGTGTTAGGATTAGATGTGGCAGTGGCAGAAGCATCCTCATAAAGGAAGAAAACCGGGGCCCCCATGGAGCATTTTAGAGACCCGTGTGGGAGACTCCAGGCCTCTCGACACTTCCCTGTCACTACTTGCCTTCCAGTCTTCACCGTTTCAGCCTGGCTCTTGCAGGGAAAGTGAAACATTTACTTGCTTTGCTGGCATGTTCTGATTGGCGTTATATACATAATCTGAGCATCATCAAACCTTTTCTGTAGGCACCAGGTAGTCACAGACTAGGTTTTGCAAGTCACATGGTCTGGGTCACTGTTTTAATTGTGCCATTGAAAGACCCAAACAGCCTCAGATGTAAACTCACATGTGGACAAACTTGGTGTCTATGACCCAATAAAACAGCATTTGCAGAAACAGGTGGCAGACTGGAGACTTCATTTTCCAGCCCCCTGCTCTAATCTAATCCCTTACAATAACTCCAGCAGGTTCCTGTCCCCATCAGACACTGAAGCAGGGGCTTAGAGGCAGGAGTGGCCCCATGCCTGGAACATGAATGGACCATGGGTGAACAATAAGGTAAACCCTTGCCCTTGAGTCCACCATTAAGTGGAGGTTCCTGGTCAGAAACCTGACAGTAACTGCATGGCAATGCCCGAGGGCCATCAGAGGACCACGTGGTTCCATTCCATCTGGAGGAGACTTCCACGGGAAGAAAGGAGGATGTCTCTACCGGACGTTGGAGCTGAACAGGGAGTTCAGGGTGCCCTGCTTGGGCATGGGGAGAGGAGCAGAGGAAAGTCTTGGTTAGCCCCAAGGCAGATTGTAATGAGGTTGGGGGTTCTGACAAGAGCATCTGCAGAGAGCCCAACTCTGCCACGTCCAGAGCTGCCCACCCTCATGGCACTGGGGTGCTCTGAGGACAGAGCAACAGGCAGCCATAGGGCCTGGCGGGCTTTTCTTTTCATTTCCTCTTTGGCTGGCGGTGCTGCAGTGCAAAGGAAAAAAAAAAAAACTGAACTCCAGGGCTGGAAGAATGTGAGGCAGCTGGCCTGGGAGGGAGTATGCGGGGTGGCCAGTCCCTGGGGAATGCACAGTCTAGAGGTCCTGAGGCCAGCACCGATATCTTGATATTGATACCCAAGGGTGAGCACAGCCCAAAGGTTCCCAAGAAAAGGCAGAAAGAGCTGAGTGGTGACAGATCTTCCATCTGCTGGTTCACTTCCCTAAGCTGGACCTTAGCCTGGAGCCAAGAACTTCATCCAGGTTCCCATGTAGATGGCTGGAACTCCTTGACTTGTGCCATCTTCCATTGCTTTCCCAGTGCATTAGCAGGGGACTGGATGAGAAGCACTGAGTGACCGTGACTTGAGCCTGAACTCTGGCATGGGATGTAGTAGTTGGAAGCAGCAGCTTACTCCACAGTACCATACCACTTCCACCTAGGCTATGTGTTTTATTCATTTGTTCAACCTGACCCTGCACAGAACCCTCTCTCAGATGGAACCTAGGGTTTGGAGGGACAGTGGCAAGAAGCACCCCAGCAGTCACAGCTTGGCTAGAAAGCCAGCCTGATTGAGCCCCCTAATCATTCTGGAAGGCCAGGCATCCTTCCCAGAGGAGATGAGTCATGGGCTTCACAGAAAACCTCTGAAGTTGGCCATGGGCCTGGAAGCAGAACCCACTCCCATCATACCCACCGCTGCATGTGCAGAGTTGCACATCCTAAGAACCACCTCCCTCTGGGAGGGGCAGGGAATCCCATGCCATAGTGAGCTCCCATCCTAGCAGGTAAATACTGCAACAGAAACTGTCACTCATCAACTAGCCATGTGCTTGAGACATTCTGTACACTGGGATTTTGACACACAGACACACACTAGCAGGTTCACACAGATCATCTCCATTTGGGACTGAGGCTTGGAGACATCCAGGAGCTTGCCTAGAGTCACCCAGCAGACACAGCTAGAAGCAAGACCATTAACATGGTCTGTTGGGGGCTGGTGCTGTGGTATAATAGATTAAGCTGCTGCCTGTGACACCAACATTTCATAGGAACACAGGTGCAAGTCCCGGCAATTACACTTTCCATCCAGCTCCCTGCTGATGCACCAGGAAAAGCAATGGGAGATTGCTCAAGTGCTTGGATCCTTGTTACCTGGAGTCCCTGGCTCCTGGCTTCAGCCATACCCTAACTATTACAGCCATTGCAGCCATTTGGGGAATAAACTAGCAATGAAAGATTCTCTCTCCTCCTCTGTTTCTCTCTCATAAATATATAATCCTTCAAATAAAAAACAGTACACTGCTCTGTTGGACACAAGGTTGACCCTGTTACCCGAACTCCAAGCATTCTCCCTCCCAGTCTTAATAGTGAACTTTCTGGGGCTCCCCCAGGCTGGGGTGACCTTTAGGGAGGCACTCGCTGCAGCTTTTCCACCTTGGAATCCAGGTTCATGGAATAGTCTGGAGCAGCAATGCTGAGCCCCTCCAACAGCCCTGGGGTCCCAAGGCCACAGACCACAACACAAAAGGCCACTCTTGCCCCTAATGCCAGCCCCTTGGGGGCAGGCAGCTCCTCCAACTCTTCAGGGTTTCTCTTCTGGTGCAGCAGGTGAGCATGCCCAGTCCCATTTTGCAGAGGAAAAGACTGGGTTCAGACACTGACAGTTTAAGGCCAGAAGTCACCCCAGAGGTATGGATGGAGACAGCGCCCAGCACCCTTGCCCACAGCCTACCTTCATCGTGCATGTCCTTGTGCGGCTCCGCCCCTTCATGCTGCACAGCTTCCCAGCGGTACACCACGTGTTTCCTCCCACCAGCCTCTTCTTCCTCTTGTCGGCCCCATTCCAGAGGCTCAATGAAGTAGTCAGTGTTCTGTGTGCGGATGAGGCCGGCCTGGCAGGAATGCAGCAAACAGGAGGAAAGAGAGGAGAGGTATGAATACATGATACAGGTGAATAATTACCCGTGCAAACAGGTGTAGCCATAATGCATGCCAACTCCTCTTTCAGGGCCTTGGGAGACCTGAGCTTGCAAGGAGCTCTGTGGAGGCTCTGGCAGAGGAGTGAGGGTGGGGAGGAAAGAAGGCAGAGCCAAGGGCACACACCCCCATTTCAGGCCACGCAGACCCACTTTCCCCGTGCTGTGCACCTATGGAGCTCCAGCTAAAGTTGCGTGTAAACAAGGATGTCTAGTAATTGAAAATGGAACAGATGTGGAAGCCACTGCCACCAGGGTCATGGACACCACCAAAGGCACTCCATTCCAATCCCAGGCACAGCAGACTGGCCCTACTCACAGCAGATAAGAATCCCAGCAGCCAAGGTTAATGACCCCGAAGGTGGTGCAGCCCACTCCTACCACCGAAAGTGTTATTATTTCAGATTTCAAGCATGTGTGGGTACACGGGGGTGGTGGAGGAACACCTAGCCAGGACTCACTGCGGAGAAAGGAGCCAGTGATATGCACCAGGAAGCCATGCTTTGCTTTACATCTAATTTTTACCTGCACCAAAATAGTTCCTTAAAAAGAAGTCAGGCCTTGGCCTTAGACATAGAAACATAAAAAGTACTTAAGCATGGCCAAGCCCAGTAAATATGTTATTAGTCCCTGATGAGAGCAGGTCCAAACAAATCATTAAAACACATAGCCTAGGTGGAAGTGGTATGGTGCTGTGGAGTAAGCTGCTGCTTCCAACTTCTACATCCCATGCCAGAGTTCAGGCTCAAGTCACGGTCACTCAGTGCTTCTCATCCAGTCCCCTGCTAATGCACTGGGAAAGCAATGGAAGATGGCACAAGTCAAGGAGTTCCAGCCATCTACATGGGAACCTGGATGAAGTTCTTGGCTCCAGGCTAAGGCCCAACCCAGGCCTGGCCATTGAGAGCATTTAGGGATGTGAACCAGCAGATGAAAGATCTCTCTCACTCTCATTGTCAATCTCTCTCACTTTCTCTCTCTCTCTCTCTCTCTCTCTCTCTCTCTCTCTCTCTCGCATGCCCTTGTGCACTCTTCTCTGTCACTCTGATTTCAGATAAACAAATATTTTAAAAATATATTTATTTCTTCAATTTTAAAGGCAGATTTACAGAGAGGAGAGATAAATACAGCGAGAATTCCCATCCACTGGTCCACTCTACGGATGGTTGCAATGGCCAGAATAGGGCAAATTCAAAGTCAGGAGCCAGGAGCATTTTCTGGGTACAGGGATCCAAGGCTTTGTGCCATCCACTGCTTTCTGGGTCATTAACTGGAAGCTGGATCAGAAGTGGAGCAGCTGAGACATGACCCAGTGCCCACAAGGGGTGCCGGAGCTGCAGATGAAGGTTTATACTGATATGCCACCATATGTTCCCCCCATCAAAAAAAAATTTTAAAGGACACAAAACTACATGTGGGATAATCTATACATGTCTGTGTGCAAGTACACACACAGATCACTATGACAGAATGCATGGAAAACAGCAGGTAGTATGTAATAAATATTTGCTAAATCTGTTTCATCTATTCAACCAACACCAGCACCCCAGGCCCAGAGGTGGGAACAGCAGCAAACACAGCAGAGCAGACACTGGGTAAGCTGACAGCACCGTCCCTGTGGAACCCCTGGGCCATTACTTTTTCTAAAGCTGCTGCATCATGCTCCTCCGCCCCTCCCTAGTGCCCACCTGCATCATTCTGTGGGTATACCTGGGGGAAGCTCCCTTAATACCTCCTGAGCATCCTCAGCAGCAGCAGCCAGCTCTTTCTTGCTCCTTCCTATCCTTCAATCAAACTGAAAACAGCATTTTGGCCGAGAGTCAAGAAGGCTGCCTTCTGTACCTCATAAACAGCCCAAGGCAGCAGCCAAGGAGGGCGAGGAGCCAACTGAGCAACAGTATAACGAGCCTGTGGCTTCCGCAGTAAACACCTTGCTGGTGGTGAGGACAGCGGGCAGGCGGTCTGGGGTGCTCATTAAAATATCAGCATGGTGGACTCTGAGCTCACATCCACTGGTTTAGAGCACACTGGCTTTGCACCTGCCATGTGCCCTGCACAGCGGGAACAGACCAACAAAGCCCAGATCCTCATTGGCATGCCATGCTGAGGCTGCATACACACCTCCACCACACCCCTGATCCTCGCTGGGATGCCTCCAGGGACAGAGCTTCTCCCTGTAGATATTAAAACCTAGACAAGTACTGGGCCCAGATGATGCAGCACTCACATCCACCTCACAGCACCAGGACTCCAGATACAAACCCTGGGAGGCAGCAGTGATGACTCAGGGCTATCTGTGTCAAGAGCTGCATGGAGTTCTTTGCTCCTGGTTTGGCCTGGCCCAGCCTTAGCCAGGGCAAGCCATTTGGGGAGTGAACCAACAGATGGAAAATTTCTGCATGTGCTGTCTGACAGCACAGAAATAATTTTTTAAAAAAAATACAGATGCATAAGAGACTGATAGAATTGATTCCTTATGAAGGACTACACTATTGTAACAAAATGGGGAAAATCTGATAAGGGGGTGGGATTTGGGGGGGGGGGGAAATCCCAGCCTATACAAAATTGTACCACATAATTCAAAATTCAAAATAAAAATATATTTATAAATGAATAAATATAGATGCAACAAACTGTTATAGTTTTATTGCACAGAACACACTTACCTTTCACTCCTTATAAGAAGTCCTCTCTTTTTTTATTATTAAAAACTTATTTATTTGAAAGGCAGAGTTAGAAAGAAAGATCTTCCATTCGATGGTTCACTTTCCAATAGGTCACAATGGCCAGTACTGGTCCACGCCAAAGTCAGCAAGCAGCATGGAACTCTTGGGCAAATGGCAGGTGCCTTAGCACTTTGGGCATCTTCTATTGCTTTCCCAGGTGCACTATCAGGGAGTTGTATCAGAAGTAGAGTAGCCAGGATTTGAACCTGCGCCCATATGGGATGCTGGTGTTGCAGACGGCAGCTTAACTTGTTATGCCATAACACTGCTTCCAGTCTTATCACTATTCCAGGTATTAACAGGTAGGTCATGTCCTGGGCTGCACTGGGTCTTGGGAATTGACAGTCCTTTGGGACAGAGGAGGGTATGGCAAGCCTCGCCACCACTCAAGAGGTAGCAAGGGCCCAGGCCCCTGCCCTGCAGCCCCAGTGTGGCCATCCACCCAGCAACAGGCCTGGCCTAAGTTCTCCTAACCCCATGCCCCAGCCGGTTCACCAAGCGGCAGCCCACAGGGCAGGCAGACTGGCAGAGAGAACGCCCTGGCTCTCTGCCTCCTCCCCAAATGACTCTCATTTCTCAATTTATGAGATGTTTATATTTCTAAAAAGTGGTGGCTAATTTTAAAGCACTAAAGCCGAAGCAAAAATTCTGCCTTTAAAAAATAATTCAAGGGAAAGGGGAAGAAGGAAATCCTAGCATTAGCCCTATCCCCTTTTACCCCTACATTGTGCTCTGTAAATAGCACAGAAGGTGGGCATCAAAACTAGAAGGGCCCTACACAGGGGGCATCCAGTGCAGCCATGAGTCCCCAGGGCCCTCAGCCAAGTCCTCCAGGCAGGGCAAGCCCGTGGCCTCAGCCTGGCTCCCAGCTCTCTTTGGTGCAGCTGCTTCCGAGATGTCTCCCTTGGGAGGTTGTATCATCAGGCTGTGGATGGGGAGGACCGACTGAATTTTTCAGTGGGGCTGCAGATACCATTGTGGTGACCTAAGGAACATCTTCTGCTGCCTTTTTATCCAGAGGCCTCCAGGGTCTGCTGATGGAGCTTGTGCAGACTCAGGGATCAGCTCTGAAGAAGGCATGGCCACATGGCAACTAGGGGGAACTTGGGAAGGGGGCGAGTTCTGGCTCAGAAATCCACCATAGGTCCTGCAGTGGCAGCCAGCCACCTACCACGAGGGGACTGTCTCAAATATCTGAGCAAATCACTGAAATCAAGTTATTTGGAAATTCCTACATATAGGTAGCTGTGTACATGTGAGAGAGACCTGGGCCTCCACTGTAAATCTTAAATCTTCAGCAGGGCCCTGGGCTTCAGTTGCAAGCCAGAAACAGAGGCAAGAGGGTTTAGGGACCTGGGTCTCCTCAAATCCCACAAGTCCTATCTGGAACAGAGGGCAAAGTCAGCTGAGCAGAAAGCAGCACCCAATGTGACCTGCAGAATCCCAACCCTTAAATAGGTATCCTGGACCATCATCCCTGATTGGTGACAAGTGAACACATATATCCCCACGCACTTGGGACAGAGGCTCCTGCCAGGTCTCTTCCAGGTGGCCAGGACGCCCTCTCCTTCCCAGAGCTGTCATTTGGTCTGAATGAGGCTCCTGCTGAAAGCTACACTTTCGGGAGTGGGGTGGGAGTTACAAAATGACACACAAGAGAAGTATGAGTTTTAGTAGCCAAAAGGTAGAAATAACCCAGATGCCCATCATCTGTGGGAGAACGGATTAAAAAAAAATGGACTATCCATTCAAGGGAATACTACTCAGCCGTCAAAAGCAATGTGATTCTGACATGTGCTACAGAGAGTTGAACCTAGAAAGCATCACATTAGATGAAAGGAGCCGCACAAAAGTCCACACACGGTCTGAGAGCACTGATGTGAAATCCTGGGCCAGGGCGAAACCACCTGCTGCCAGGGCTTGCAGGTCTGAGGGCTCAGGAGGTGACAACAGAAGGGTACGCGTTTCTTTCCTGCACGACAAAGATATCACAAGATGGACAGTGGAGCTGGATGCACAAATCTGTGAATATAATAAAGGCCCACTGGCTCGTATGCTTTGATGAGTGAATTCCATTTCCATAAAGCAGTTAACTCAGAGGATGGGGGGATGGGCGGTAACACACGAAAGTGACGCAAGGGCGTACAGCTGCCAGAGACCACGGAGCGGTGAGTCAGCGCCGCTCGCTCG